CCACATCGAGCGGCGGCAAAGGTGGCACCCGGCCGGTATTTCGTGAGTACTCACAGGAAGAAAATTATGTTTAGTTAGAAAGAAAGGTAGGGCAAGAGCGGAGGCGCAAAGCGCGATGAAAGGAGGCAAGGACAGGGACAAGGAGGCAGGTAGGAGAAAATGAGGTGGCGGAACATGCCAATAATAAAAGCTTGCCTATGTTGATTTTGTAATTTGTTGGGGTGTTTATTTTGCTAGCCGATCCGACCCAAGCTTTCCCATACAAGCAAAAGTCGTATGCAACAGCTATTAGGTGGATGAAGTAACCGAGAGTTAAAATTCTATTACTACACTATGTTTGTTTTGATTCGCTATGCAAGTTTGACAGATAACATCAGGGGTGTGTGGATTCATGCAGAACATGCAGGGGTGAGTGAAATAGCTTGGGACTGCTTGGGACCGTTGTTCTGGTACTGAGTGAGCCAAAAATAATAATGATTTTCTTCGGGACCCAGTGGTCTTAGAGTTACCTCTATGGTAGAACGTACTGCTAGCAAGACACCACCGCCGGAAGCTTTGGGGCTAGTAGCTCGAGAACGATCAGTGCGATAGACCGTAAAATCCGAACTAAATATTTGCTTAGAAAGTATATTGCTGTTCAACCAAGTTTCGGTGAAGGCGTACATATCGTAACTAGCATCCGAGCAGGCCAATTTGTACTCAGCTACAGTTGTTTTCATGCCTCCAACGTTTTGTTATTACAGCAATATTTCAGCTCCCTGAATCCTGGATGCGTTACGGTTGTCATTAGAGTCATCATGGTGGGGAATGACTGAAATTGTCGAGGGACTATGTACAGATGTGTAGTGATCATTTCCCGCTTCGGCAGGACATATACTGTTCGTGCAATTACCTCAGAAACCAAGCTCAGTGACTTGAGCATTGCAATCAGAGTCATCCTGGTGAGAAGCGGCTCTGACTGCGAAAGGATTTTTTACGGCAGTTTAGTGATCATTTCCTGCTTTGGCAGGACATATTCAGTTTGCGCAATTACCTGAGAAGGCGAGGCTCGAATGGGGCAACGCTGACAAAACTGGACCAGAATCCATTTTTGGTAACGGTGTTAGTGAAAATTAGGTTATCCAAAACAAGTACTTTGAAGGATACAAAGCTCAAAGGACTTCCCTTTTTAGCAGCGGGAGTTAGTGGTTGACATCGAAACGAAGTTTTAGTCCAGCCGGTTTTGCTACAGATGTAATTTGATATATGCTCAGCGGTCGTTGAAGGCTCGAATGGTGTTATATAAAACTGTTTGAACTTCTCGGCTGACTCGTTGGTCGCAGGAGCAACTAGTTTTCGACTGGAGCTAGCATTAGTAGGAAGATTCAAGCCCGACATCGTGTTTACGTGTGTCTGAATGGGTGGCAGCTGACGAGAAAGAAATAGGAGGAGGCTTGGCATGCGATGCGGCATTCAAACCGTTCGTAGAATCAGTAGCAGGAACAGAAACATTGTACGATGGCGGTAACACCTGCTGAGGAACGTGTGAATCCACATAGCTCGGATACAGGATCGATGATGTCGGAGGTGGTAAATACCAAAACGGCATTGTAGCCGGCGTATATGGTACAGCAGGTGGCTTATCTGATGTTTTTCGATTTTTGTTCATGAGAGGTTGTTGTAGCAGAATTTCCAAGAAACGGAACTAGAATCGGATGAAGGGTTTGATGGGAAAGTGCAGTACCGTTGTCCTCTCCGACCGGACATATGTCCTATATTACCTGACCGTAGAGATTGTGTTGCTGTATCTCTCGTTGGTTGGATAATGCCGGGAACCAAGATTGGAGTGTTGTCAGGACAATTTAGGTTATTTGCAGGAACGCACGATGTTGCATCTCTCTGGAACGAGGCTGGCAGATGATATTGTCAACCGGTGAAAACTAACGATTCTAAATTGGCTCACTACTTGACTAGCCTATTGGTCCCAAGCAAATCGATTAACGTACCCCATTCTAGTTGAAATTCTAGTACTACACTATGTTTGTTTTGATTCGCTATGGAAGTTTGACAGATAAAATGAGGGGTTCGTGGATTTTCCTATTTTTTGAGGGGTGCATCGATTAGCTTGGGACCGAAGAGAGTACCAGAGCTGAGCCAAAAAGCACGTAACTTCGGGACCTCTCTATGGTAATGTATCATTCAGAATTTAATGTCACAAACAAACTTTTAAAATTACAGGTATCAATAATCACTAGTTTTTCATCACACAGCTTTTCAGGGCCACCAATTCAAAAACGGAAAGAGTTAAGATAATAGATTATCGATCAATTAACAGAACTAAAGGCTCAATATATTTGTTCCGACCACTAGCGGTCCTACGTCAAGCTTCCGTTCGTTTCGATTTCTCATTATTAAAGTGAATAAATCGAACTGTTTGTTGCTAAGATGATTTCGGTTGTCCTAAAATGATGAATGGGCTGCACGTAAGGAGACGTGATTGATAATTCTCCCGAATATCCTGGTAAATACACGTTGACTTAAGTAACACCAAACTTAAGGGCCAGTAAGCGACTCAAAAACAAATATTTTTTAGCATGAAAGCTACCGATATGCTTTTGTAATTGTAATTGTAATTGTTCAGTGCATAGGCTGTGCCTTCCGCTAAGAAGGCTTATCTAGGGACCAACCCCCTAGTCTATACACCTACTGTCCTTCCCGTTGCACTCGTCAGCTCGTGCGATACTCTAGACACACATGGGTGGTCGTATCCGGGTCCTCCCCTGGGTAGGCTCGTGTCCGTCCAGGTTCTGATACATTAACTTATGCATGGTAATTATACTTTTAAAACTCACCTTTTGATTATAATGTCGAAAATGCTGAAACTAAATAAAGGTTAGCGATCCATATAAGGTGCGTGCTGCGACGGAGTAGTAATTGAAGGAAATGAGGTTCTGATGTGAAGTATAGGTAATTCTAAAATAGGTAAATCAATTAATCATTAGCTGCTAACAGTTACTAATAAATGGGTACGATAAATCACTCATCAATGAGTATTGCCACTCCCACTGAAAAATGGGCAAAACCTTAATCATAAATGGATATTCGATTCCTACCGTGTATTTAAAGTAAAGTTAGGATCTTATCAAGCAAGCACACACCTTTTACGATTCTTATCCTACTTACGGTTTCCTGCACATACGACTTTTCCTAGATACAAGCTTCGTCCAGTATACATTGGCTGTCTCCAACCGACATGATCCTTACTGTCTGTTTCCTCTTGCCGGTGCAAGTTTAATTCTTCTTTTCTTGTTCGTTTCTGGTTTCTGGTCGTGTTCCCATTTGTCCTCAGGCAGTTAATATTAGTACATGATAGGAAGAAAGAAAGAAATAGAACAAGTTAAGTGTGAGCCGCATGCATTGGTTACTTATTTGGGTCATGGTGTTGTCTTCCCTATTTATTTGCCCTAGTCGCTCTCATATCGAACGTTTAACGCTGGATCAACAATAGAAAAGGGCCCATCAGCATTCGTAAACAAACCGCTCCAAAGCCCCCCACTCACAAAGCGAAGGCCACCCACGCAAACCAACACCATCATCGGATAGGGAAAACTTCCACCTACACGAAGACGGTGTTGGCCCGCGCGAGCAGCCCCCGATCTGTGAGGAATGGGCTCTGGACGGTCTGCCCACAAAAACCGATGGGCCCCCTTCCATTGTTGATCCAGAACTCACCCCCTTCCCTCACACTATTATGGTCGGAAAAGAGAACCCATATTTAGGAATCTATCGCGAACTGCGATGCAGAAGATATTAATAGCAAACTAATCTGGAACTGGTCTAAGACATATGACCCAGTGAGCATTGACACCTCACACTGTTGTGAATGAGCACGGACGCGAGATTTACTAGAGTATTAAATACAAAACGCAAATTCAAAATAAAACTTGACAAGACATCGTCAATCCCCTTATTTTTGGGCAGGGTCTGACGATGTGAATCTGATTTTGATCAGTGAACGGGCCCCATATGGTACATTTTCTCACCATGAACCTGTCATTTCCAGCCTATCTGAACTATTTAATAAATGGAAACCATAACATGGGTTACGCTTCCCCTAAGCGGGCCCTCCGCATCCTACACAGCAAAAAAAAATGTAATATCGATCAACGTAATTCAAGCTGATGTATGAAATAATGATGTAATAGCAAAAAGCAGATACAATATTACATCAATGGATGTAATTTTGTTCACAAAATCGATGTACATCGTACAATGTGATATTACACAACCGATGGATTGACCTGGTTGCAGCAGTTTCGATGTAATATTCAACAACTTTTTTTGCTGTGTATCTCTGTCTTATCTCAAATGCCAATGGTTTGAATGTATCAATATATACATTGGAAATGACGTTCAATCAAATAAACCCATACCCCACTCACTTGGCCAGGCTTCAGAATCGTCCAGTGGGCAGTGCGCTCTACACTCCAAGTTCCCTTTCTTTCAAATTCACCCCAAATTTGATATTTTACCCCTTTGAGTGTTGATTAATCACAATGAAACATTGTGACAGAGCACGGACTTGAGGTTACTAGAGTATTAAATAATCTAGGTCCTATTTAGGATTATATCTGAAAAATCCAAATTTGGCCAACGCCCACCATGAAAGCTACCGATATGCTTTTTATGATTAAAACCCTACTTAATATGTTTAACATTGCTATCACTATGAGATTACATGCGTTTAATTGGAAATATGAATAACTTTTCGATCATCAAAACAAAACTTTATTTTTCTCGGATTGGTGCGAACGTTACTTTCGACGTAATGAAAATTTGCTCTTGATTTTTGCTTCTAACTCTCTCTGTTGGCCCGGACCATATATAAACGTCATTGAGCGTCAGGGAGTTATTTTTGGTCGATGAGGCATATGCGGAACGTCAACGTCACTAACGAATAATAATTTAATACATTAAATTTTGGCACTAGCATAAAATGTAAATACGTATCATTCCGTATTTCTGTGTGGAAATCAAATTTCATAAAATTCAATCACTGTTCTTCAAAATTCCATTATTTATAGCCAGGCACCAATCGTAGAAGTGATTTTTGTACCTTTGTGGTGTAACCGGCCGCAAAATTAGGATGCGTAAAACATGGGTCAAACGGGACAACATCTACTACAAACCCTTCTACAAGCAAAAGCTAAAGATGACCTTGCTCGGAGTGCTACTGATGGCCATCGTCTTTTTCGGATACCAAATCTTCTACATCAGTCAGTTGCAAACGGATTCGGGGACGGGTGTACTCATCCGGGGTGAAGCCGCTCAACACCAGGCTAATAATAATCATCGTGTTAATTCGATAGGAAACGAAGCGGAATCGAATGATGCTGGCAACAACGTCAGGGACGAAGGCGGAGGAGAAGCGTTTGGTGTCAATGTTAGCAACAGCATAAATGGGTTCAACGGTCCTTCCGATGATAGTCGGTACGTGTATGTCGAGAAGGTTGGCAACTACGAGAAGAGGATACTGAGGTAAGCAGGAGTTTTTTTTAGTTTATAATAGATATACAATCAACTTTATATAGGACACATAATCCTTTCAGAGGCATCCGATTGCGTGACATCGACGCATATTCGGAACGGTCCCGCAGTATGTTCCGTTGCTTGCACGGAAAAGAGGAAATTAGTTGGAGCAGGGTGAACGATGATTATTGCGACTGTCCCGAGGATGGGAGCGATGAGCCTGGCACTAATGCTTGCGAAAAGGGTCGATTTTATTGTCGCTTCCAGAAGCGCCATCAAACCGGTCGTGGAGGTTACGCATCGGTTCCTAGCTCGTGGGTCAACGATGGCGTTTGCGACTGCTGTGATGGTTCCGACGAGTGGCTTCGAGGCGGCTTACATTGTCGGAATGCTTGCAAGGAAAAATATTCCTATTAGGTTACACTAAACGAAACTGATGATATTTCTAGCGCCACTCTTCTGAATCAAAAACTGGGATTGCATTTCTAGTTGTAACGGGGATGAATGCTATGCGTGATTGTGAATTAGTATGTTGAAAATAAATTATTCTATCTTATATTTTCCTGTACGTATGGACTTTACCTGTGCTGCATGTATTAGTAATGTGATGACAATGGAGTGCGTTCCGAACCTAAAATGCCGAATTAGTGAAATAACTTCAATTGAGCGTATGAAACATTGATCAATGTAGGTATAGCTAGATAAAATTGGTTCCCAACTCAATACTCAACGGGTTTATTAAATTTTGGAATTCTTGATAATGCTCCATTCACACTGCTTGGTACAACCAGACTGAATTGATGCTCGGTTGTATCGTGTGTGCAATGGTTGTAAGATAACATTTACAGTTGGTCAATCGGTTGAAGAAAAATCAAAGCATTTTGAATTAAGATTGGCGGAGTCAATGTCTGGCGAAGTCGCACAAGCATCGCAGGTTACTTAAATGGAATAAACGCAGTGCTGACATCACACGATCTGTCCAGCATCTTTTAATGTAATCCGTCTAGGTAATAATGGGTAAACCCAACGTAAGGAGGAGGGGGACTCTTAACGACGATTCAAAACATCAACACTAGAAGATCCCGCTGTAAATAGATCGTTCGTCGAATACGGCCGTTTTAATCTTACTCTATCACTTCAAGGACAAAACTAGTAGAATCCAAAATGGCCGCAATTATGGCTGATTTTACAAGGCTTTGACAACGACCATTTGTGGATTCTATCAACCTTGTTCTTAACCTTACTCAGTTGTTGGCGAGTGTCGTCCAAGGTCCATACAATAAAAAAATCCGTACGAAAATGCCCGCGAGGGAAAGAGGGAGGGGGCGGGTTCAAAATCTCTCAAAAACTGTATTGTAGATAGGCCCCTATTCATGATGGCCTTCACTAAGGATTTCTTTCATATCCTAATCGTGAAAAACACTCGTTATTTGATTCAAACGTGAAAGTTTCTCATTTTTGCTTTAAATTTTCATTCATAATTTCCATAGCAAACATCAATTTTTACCATTCATCCAAAAACAGCAAAAGTTTTGTTTTTGATTGTTTTTCCACAGTTAAAATCTATGATCTCTGTTTTCAAGTAAATTTTTTCTTGTTGCCGAAATAGAAGCAGATATAATTTAGTGCAAAGTAATCTTTGTTACAGTTTTTTTTGTAGTTGTTGCAAAATACAGCTCTTTTGTCATTCCTAAATATCAATCCAAATTGAATACTTTCTTTCCGATTTTGTATCGCTTAGCCTAGTCTGAAATAATAGTAGTAGTAGTAGGTCTTCCCCTGTGAACCCTGTATCCGAAAAAACTCGGATACAAAATGCCTTTCCTCGCCTAGCCAGCTAAACTTAAACATTACACGATTAAAGGAAAATCATATAAAATATATTATATACTTTCGTATTTTCCTGCATCCTAAATTACAATTTTAATTAAAAAATATTTTTCGTTTTTAAATAAAGACTATCATCAAAGCAATATAATGAATCTGTGTTTTCATCTATCTTTCCATGCAATAAATTTTATGCAAAATAATGGCATGATTGGTTTGACCGATATAGGCTAAAAACTGTACAATTTCCACCTATACACATACACACAATCCAAATACGGCGACACACGTTTCGCCGAAAACGAAATGAAACGATTTATAAGCATGACTGTTGGGCGAAACGAACAAAAAAAGGAATCTTATCAATGATACTTCCGTGGATCAAAACTGTTTTGATTTTCAACGAAATCGAAACATTCCACTTACCTTTATAAAGCATTCATCACTGGATTCGCGAACTTGTCGCAAATACGGTAAATTCGCTGGCTGAGTTTCTGGTTTAGTCATTCGATCACTTGGTGCCACTTTCTTCTTCTTCGTCGTCGTCGGCGGCGGAGGTAGCCATTTTTTCATCCTCTACGTCCGTATCATTGCCGGTAATCATTTGCTCGACGCCACTGGCGCCCGTTTGCTCCTCCACTTCCGCCGGATGCAACTCCGGTTGTATCTGTTGCTGCTGTTGGAGTTGAACGTTTTCCTCCAATGTGGTGGACAAGTTCGTGGCGGTCAGTTGTTGCTGTTGCTGAAGGTGTTGTTGTGCGAACACGTTGATCTGGTATTGCCGGAAGCGATTGAGTACTTCAAAGTGAGTGAACAAGTTGGTAGAATTGGCTTCACTAGGATAGAGGTGTCGATCGAAGGAAGCACCGAGACGTTTGAGCAAATCCGTGAAAGACTTCTCCTCCTTGCGAATCCACGGCCGATGATCGTCCTGGATCTGATATGGCGTAACGTGCACATGGACGTTGATTCCTAACCGGCACAGTGTCTCCAGGAGACTTCGCGAGGTGATCCAGGTGTTTTTACCCCCGCCGTGACCGCCGTCCAACCAGTACATGTCCTTTATCCGAGAAACCAACCGCATCATTGTGCTATCGTCGGGGGTGAGGGTCTTATAGTAATGAAACTCGTAGATGAATTGATTGAGAACGACACAGCCTTTGCTGAAACCCATCAGGGCGAGGTTTGCCTTGTCCAGGTTGAGACTCTCGCGCCACCAGAGAAGATCGTTGATGTCGGCATTGCTGGCACCTGTGCCCGTTACCGATGATGAAGCTGGCGAAGTTGTATTGTTTTGAACATCCGACTGAAATAATCACGGTTTAAATTACCTTGCGCAAGTAATGAGACAATCGGTCTTACCTGAAGAACATCCACGTCCATGTCCTGACTTCCTTCTAATCCAGTCCCACACAATGAAGAATTTGTCGCCGCTATTAGCTTATGCAGAAGATCCGGTTCTAGTACAGGTTTTGTCAGCTTTTTAGTCAAATTGTTTAGCAATCTGTAGGAAAATCAGATACATTAATAGATAAGATTTGACATATTTCCCCCATGTGGTACTAACTCTTCTAAATGCTGCAACGAGAAGTGCATCGGAGTGTGATCAGGAATGCCAGCATTGTTGCCCCGTACGAAGTTGTCGAAGCAACTGAAGGTGCTATATTCCATACGCATCGGCCGCACCACAACGATATGCGACCGAGGGAATGAATCCCTCAAAAGCAGGGCCGTATTCTCCAGGTTCCACTTGATGTAGTTCTTATTGTCCCTATTCGTTTCCATTTTCTCCGGGATGTCCTGAATTCAAGATGAAGTACTATACGTTTAAAACTTCAATGATTCCCTAAAGAATGCATACCTGAACATCTCCACCAAAATAGACTACCGCCGTGCAGTCGTCCTTGGAGCGCAATAACGGCGGACAGTAGATGATATGGTTGGTTCTATTCTGGTACCCTTTGATACCGTTTATCCGCACCGGACCACCTTTCGGCAATTGTGGAGGTTGCTGTTGCTGCTGCTGCTGAGGTTGAAGCAGCGGTTGTGATGGCTGCTGTTGTTGAAGCTGAAGTATTGATGTACTTCCACCCATATTGGTACCGCTCACGCCTCCTCCTCCGCCTGCGATGCCTGCTACTCCGCTTGTTCCGCTATTGGCTAAGGCACCGCCTGTAGAGCTCCCACCGCCACCTGCCGTTGCCGTATCATTACACCGCAATGCATGCATTGCATAGGGGAATATGCCTCGAAAGTTCAGCTCTACTAATTGATCACCACCTGCAAATATCCGGAAAAAAGACAATTCAGTTAGATTTGCGATTTTCGCATAATTTTCTTTGGAGGTTTCTTGGAAGTATTCTAGATGTGCCCTGGAAAATCTCTCAACGTGCTAAAGAGCCCATTGGGTTGTAAGTTGAAAACTCATTGGACATGTATCATATGAATCAGACAGTTGAGCTCTGGTCATTAACTTCTTATCACCGAAATGCTCGCAATATTTCTCATCAGATCAACATGGATTTGTTCCCAAACGGTCGACTACCACCAACCTTGTGACATTTACTTCTTTCGTCGTTCGCCAAATGGAGAAAAGGCTCGCATGTAGATGTGATTTATACGGATCTGTCGGCTGCTTTCGATAAAATGGATAACGAAATTGCCCTGGCCAAGTTTAACAGATTAAGAATTGATGGTAACCCTCACTGTTGGCTGCACTCGTACCTGACTGGACGGAAAATGTCCGTCAAGCTTGGTGATCATGTTTCGTCTTCGTTTCTTGTTAAGTCCGGGGTACAGCAAGGCAGTCATCTTGGACCATTCCTTTTCCTGCTATACATGAACGATGTTAACAACGTCCTTAAATGCCACAAAAAATCTTACGACGACCTTAACACTCCGAATACGATGCCTCCGAAAAGCGTGTAACGGCAAGTTTGCAATAGCCAGTGCTGTAAGTTCTCAAAATCAATTGAAATTTTTGACGTAGGACTACGTCTTCAATTTCTATACTAGGGTACACTTTGTGGAAACCGAAAATGGAACATGAAACAAAATTATGAAAGATTTTCAACATTAATAACTCAGCTGCCCCTGGACCAATTTCATTAATTTTATCACCAATCGATCAGAAATATTTCTACGCAATGCTTCCGACTGATGATTTTCAACAAGAAACTATTGAAAAAGTTGTAATTTCAAGCAATGTCCGATGTACAAATAAAAAGTGATAATTGTTTTCATGAGATAAACGTTCTTCCCAAACCCAGTCGTCATTATCGAGTACCACATCATTCTGCTTTAACCAGAAAAGATATAAAACAACGCTGCTGTCTAGCCTCAACTCATTTTCGCTTCGGACGCCATGGTGAACAGGCAGAAGAAGCAGCAAAAGCAGTCGTCTGGCTCGCCGTGCCGGTGTCAAACGTATCTCCGGTCTACAAGGTGTGCTGAAAGTGTTCCTGGAAAATGTGATCCGTGATGCTGTCACCTACACTGAACACGCCAAGCGTAAGCTGCCATGGATGTCATCTACGCTTTGAAGCGACAGAGATCGATCAATTAAAATTTTTGTCAAGCTTCTGCATTCATGTGCCGTCTATCGGAAACTACGCACAATCTGTTTCCGTTAATTGTTCACAGAAGACAGTGCAGTGCAAAACGTGCTGGTACCTCTATATCTGCATTTAGATTAATATTCGAAGTCCCTCCTTTTTTACAGATTCAACACACAAAATAGCTCACCCCTCACATAATTTCCCGCCGATTTTTATGAATGGGGCGGGGCAAAAAGTATCTTCGGATGTTATAGATAACATGTTTTGTAATGTCAGGTACTCTATTTTGTAATCTGTGAAAGGGAAATCACAAATCGAGTGTCATCAAAATACATGGCATGTCGAGAGATTGAGCTCGTCAGAAAGAATGTTCACTCTCAAATTTGAATGTTTTTGGCTCTCTGGGGACTGGTGGTAAAGCGGTTTAAAAGTGTATGGAAAAAAAAACCCTTTTTATTTAATTGTAGCATATGTTTAACAATAATCTCCGGGAAAACTGAACGATAAAGTCCCTGACTAATTACATTAGGTCGTTCAATTTTTTAAACCTGAACCTCAATTTCATTATGGGGATTTTTATCACTTCCTACCAGTGGAACAGCGCCATCTCTGTGGAAAATGGCCGGGCGATATGATTAATTAAAAGAACTAAATGCTCTTCACATTTGTACCGTGCATTAGCGATCCTACGTCAAGCTTCCGTTCGTGCACAGACCCTTCTACTTTTTGATGAAAATAGAAAAGCAGCTATCCGCTATCAAAGGGGACCTCCTTCGAATGGGTGATATCAGTTGCTTAGTCATTTGACGAAGGCATGGATCATTCTCATTTGAGATACGCTTGATATCATTCAATTGAGTGTAACCTACACATAAACGGAGCTCTGGTCGACATTCCGGCGAAAAAGCTTAGCCAACATAACTTCTACTAAACTACAACCCGATATTGACCCGACATAAACCCAAATTTTTTTTTTTTTGGTTTTTGAGAGTTGACCAACTGCAGTCTTAATAGGCTAGAATCTCGGTTGGGCTCTCCATGCGATACACAATACTTTCAGACGACTCGAGCTATGGTGCTCACTAGGTCACTGCAGCTTTTAGGCTCGTATTGTGATCAACTGTGTGTATTAGATTACGACCATAAATCCGGAGAACCCCGAGATCTGGACGCAATCGCCCCTGCAAACAAACACGTCAATCGTCGGCCTCCCGCGAACAAAAGAACAATCCTGCAAACAAACTATAACAAATCATAGAGGAACTATTCTTCTACCTGTTTGTGTTATCAGTTTTTCCAGACTGAGCCCCAATCCGCGAGAAACCGACAAATGACGTGCCCATCTACAAAAGCAACTACGCTCCAACCTCGAAGCTCTCCGGAAATATGTGATAAATCATGTAAATGTAAATGGAATACAGTAATGTCCCGATTTTGTCAACCCCCTTTTTTGAAAATGTTTTCCAATGTTCTACAAAACCCAAGCCCTTTTTCAGTAATCTTCTTGAACCTATTGCACCAAAGTATACTTTAAATATCCCTCTTAACGAATGACGAATGAGAAAAATTTAGATTTATGATTATGTGAAATTATTGAAAGAAAAAAATCTGAAGCGCGGATGGGCTGACAAAATCGGGTCATTACTGTATTTAAAATAAATAAATTCATTCTTACCTTTTTATGGTTGTTTGATTATTAATTGCTATTATTACCTGCTTAGAGTTGGCTCCTTTAAAATACTGTGTACAATTTACCTCATTATTCCTCAGTTCTATCGATTTGTGATAGAACCACGCTCAACATATTATCCTGTAGTACGACTTGGGCATGCACCATGCAAGTAAGTCATCTCTCGTCAAAACGATGTGATATGGGGTGATGGTGAAGGGATATAGAAAACGAATAAAAGAACAGAAAGAAAGGTATTAGTATTGGTTACATTAACCCCCCCCCCCCCCCCACACACACACACACACACACACACACACACACACACACACACACACACACACACACACACACACACACAACGAAAAAGAAACATAGATGCACAGACAAACAGAAATAACACATTTAATATTTTTCTCCACAAAACATAGTCACTAAAACACTACCGCCATCTGTTGAGTATCATGATAGTACGCTTAACAGATGGCGCTAGTGTGCAGACGTCAAACGCAAGGGAACCGACCGTGCGTGCCACAGTTGGCGGCACCACCAACCAAAAACACCCGAATTGACCGTCAAATGCGTATTCGATGAACAACCTGTCCAACCGAGTGTTATGTCTGTTTGTCTGTGATAGATGGGTTATTATGAAAGTACAACTACATTATAACTATTAGTGCAATGGATGAACGTTAGTTTCGGGGTCATGTTAGTGTTAGAGTTTTGTTAGTATTGACCCGTATTCAGCCCTGTCGGCCCCTCGAACACTAGTCGCAGGCAGTTGTTGTTAGGACATGCGACACTGTCACTGCTACTATGTTAGAGGTATGACCCTTCAAGTTTCGAAGTGCAAAAAAAAAACTGTTAGAACTTTCTTATAAATTAACTTTACACTCAAAGCAAACTATTTACCTTAGCATTACAAAAGCGAATTTAAAATTACTATTTTATTTTATGCTAATATTAAAATTATGATAAAACTACAATTTACGGCTCCGTGAAATTAACTCGCATGAACCTTTCAAATCAATGAACTGGAGAAAAACTACAATTTTATCAAATTGCAAAAAAAAAATCATAGCGGCACTTGACAAATCATCACAAGCCCCTCATCCTTTTACAGGGCATAAACCCAAAATTAACCTGACAAAATACGACATTGGACTTGTCTACTCGGGACCATTTTGCTGGGTTTCTTCCATACTCTACTTTCGTATATCAAATGATAGTGAGTGACTCAATTGACAGTGACGATGAGCTGGCATGAGAAAGGGGTTGTTCAAATTATGGCGCGACACGAATGTCACAGAAGTGATAAAGTGTCACTAATAAATAAATATAATAATAATAATAATAAATTATTGTCATGTGAGAATTCGTTTTCACAGAATTGATAGAATGGTTGTAGGTATTGGTTCATCAGATTATCTTCAATCGAATGATATGAAAATAAACAGCACTGGCAATAGCATAGCTTAGTCATTTCTTGATGAATTTAAAAAAAAAAAATTGCGGTACATCTAGAATTCCTAGGGTCTCTAGATTATTTTAATCTTAAAAAGATTAAAAATAGGGTCGTCTACTTTTTTAAAAGGCGAAAAAATTCGTTACACGTTTTTTTGAAGCTGTGTTTATGGGCTCTCCTTACAATGCTTAAGATCTATAATTTAGATTAATTTGCACAAATGTTCACAATTAGCCAGAATACAGTCATGGTTCCTACATATGGATCCTGGAGACAACGGAACGGTCCTCCAGAAGATCCGGAACATTTGTTAAAGTGGTCAATCTATGAAACTGATCCTAGAGCTATGCGTTTTTTTTTTAAATATTTAGAGCTGTGATATAAGATAGAATTTGGAGTCTGACATAAACATGGACTAAGATGGCCATAGGACCGTCCTCCGAAAGATCCGGAACATCCCTAAAAGTGGTCCATCTATGAAACTGACCCTAGAGCTCCACAGTTTTTTTTTTGAAAACACGTGGAACTGTGATATAAGAATGAATTTGGGGCCGTGACATAAACATGGACCTGGATGGCCATGAGACCGTCCTCCGGAAGATCCGGAGCATCCGTAAAAGTGGTCAATCCATGAAACTGATCCTAGAGCTCCACAGTTTTTTTTTTTTCAAAAAATATTAAGAACTGTGATATAAGAAATAATTTGGGATCGTGACATAAACATGGACCAGGATGACTATGAGACCATTTTTCGCGAGATTCGGAACATCCATAAAAGTACTAATTCCATGAAACTGATTCTAGAGCTCCGTGTTTTTTTAATCTTCTTCTGAAATGTTTACATTTTTCTCTCTACCAACACATACGTGAGGGCTAGATCTTCACACCACAAGGTTGCACGAATTCAACTGTATTGCTAAATGTGCATGGACACACATACGCAGTTAAAGTTAACTGGTTCAATTCAAGATTTTTGGCTAAGCTTCAGCCATTTTGAAATCCCCAGCTGATGCTGAACACTTTGTTTACAAAAATGTAGAGGAATTTCATATAAACAAGATCAGATCGTTGATTGGCTGATGCCCATAGCCATCCGGGTCATGTTTATGTCACGACCACATATTCATTATTATATCACAGTTCCTAATATCAAAACAAAACTGCGGAGCGCTAGGATCAGTTTTATGGATGGACCTTTTTATGGATGTAGCGGAGGACAGTCCCAAGGTCATTCGGGCCACTGTTTATGTATCGACCCAAAATTCTTTCTAATATTACAGTTCTTGGATCAGGATCAGATTCATAGATTGACCACTTTTGTGGAGGTTCCGGATCTTCCAGAGGATGGTTCGATGGCCATGGGTCCATGTTTTTGTAACGACCCCAAATTCTATCTTATATCACAATTCAAAAATGATTAAAAAAAAAAAAAAACGAATCTCTAGAATCAGTTTTGTCGATTGACCACTTTCACGACTGTTCCGTATCTTACGTAGGACGGACCCATGGCCATCCAGGTCCATATTTATGTCACGACCCCAAATTCTTTCTAATATCACAATTCCTAATGTTTTCGAAAAAAAAAAAAAAACACGGAGCTATAGCATCACGTTCGTGAATTGACCACTTTTACGGATGTTCCGAATCTTTCGGAGGACCGTTCCGCTGTCTTCAGGATCCATATGTAGGAACCATTACTGTATTCTGGCTAATTATGAACATTTGTGCTAATTAATCTAAATTATAGATCTTAAGCCACTTGCAAAGCCCATAAACACACCTTAAAAAAACGTGTAACGACTTTTTTCTCTAGACGACCCTATTTTCAATATTTTTAAGATCAAAGTAATCTACAGACCCTAGGAAGTCTAGAGCTACCACAATTTTTGAAATTCATCAAGAAATGACGAAGTTATGTTGTTGCGAACTTGCCGTTACACGCTTTTCGGAGGTTTCGTAGTCGGCGTAAAGTTGTTAACCCACCCTATTCGGAGTGTTAAGCTATATTATGCTATCAACAAACCAAGTGACGCTTTCTTTCTTCAAGAACAACTAGAGACCTTCACAGCTTGGTGCAAGACGAACCGTATGGTCTTAAATGCTTCTAAATGCTCTGTTATTTCCTTTGGGCGTAAACGACCACTGGCCCTCAACGACTACGTTTTAAGTGGCACCTCTCTAAAACGTGAGAGCACTCCTTCTTCCCCAGCTCCGATCGCATTCAGCTTAACAGAAACCTTCCACTTCTGGACAACAGCGTCTTCGGTTGGATTGTAGCTGGTTCGGCGAACGCTAGCTCAGTCACACAGACATCGGTATCATCTATCTCGTGCAATGCGGTCGAGGTTTCGATGACTTCGCTGGAGGACATCATGGAGCGATTTTGGAAGAGTCAAGAGTTGACAACCACGGACAACTACTCAGTGGAAGAACGGCGCTGTGAATCCCTGTACCAGTCTACCGTGTCACAAAATTCTGATCATCGATACATAGTTCGGTATCCCCGAAAGCCGGATTTCGATGTGATGCTCGGAGACTCCCGAGACAACGCCCATCGGCGGTTCGAGTACCTAGAAATATGCCTGGAACGGAACCTCAATTTAAAGAAGAATACCACCAGTTCATTAAGGAGTACATCTCCCTCGGCCACATGCGGTTGGTCGAAGCGGACGACGAAAATGCTCCCGCTTACTATCTGCCCCACCACCCCGTAATTAAGGAAGCAAGTACAACGACCAAGGTCCGGGTTGTGTTTGACGCCTCAGCGAACACTTCTACCGGTTTCTCTCTCAATGAAGCTCTTTGCGTGGGTCCCGTGGTGCAGGACGATCTTCTGGACATCATTCTGCGGTTTCGTACTTTTGTGATCACTCTAGTCGCCGACATTGCCAAGCTGTATCGACAGATACTTGTCCATCCGGACGACACATCGTTCCAGCGTATCCTGTGGCGGTTCTCCAAGTTATCTCCAGTCCAAGTCTACGAACTACTGACCGTTACGTATGGTTTGGGCCCGTCATCCTACTTAGCGACACGTACTCTCCAGCAACTAGCAGCAAATAAAGGCGCTGCATACCCGAAGGGTGGCCCAGCGTTGAAGAAGAATTTTTACGTTGACGACTTCGTTGGTGATGCCCAATCTGTCGAAGAAGCGATTCGTCTACGTACAGAGCTCGACGAACTGCTGAAAAAAGGTGGATTTGAACTGCGAAAATGGACTTCAAATCGGCTTGAGGTGCTTCAAGGTCTCAACGACGAACAGGTCCACTTCAACCCCGATGAATCCATCAAGGCGCTGGAAATTATCTGGGAACCTGAAGTTGATCTTCTCCGTTTTGATTCCCAGATCCGAATCAGCGATGAGCCTCCAACGAAGCAGTCCATCCTCTCCGATACCGCCAAACTTTGCGGGTATTTTGGTTCTGGCGGCACTGAGTGAGATTGTTATTTCTCACAAGAAAACTGGTGCTAGCGGGCGCACTTTTAGCCCAGTTTTTCTTGCCCTTTTGGCAACCGGGTCCACCCAGCTGTTTGCAAATGAGCCAAAAAAAGAGCCAACGCACCCGACCGAGACGTCGTCATCTTCAGCCATATAGTATAAGTAGGGTAAGCGCGCCAACACATAGTTTCCGCTTGACGATAGCCCTAAATGTTGTGATTGTGCGGATCTGAGGACAATTGGACGTCTCATTGTATATCATTTTTCGAACTTGGTTCAAACATGCGTGTACAGATTTCAAACACGTGCATTGTCCATCTGATTCTGATTTGACGACCTGTTTGGATGCTTGCTGGTACGAAGCAAACGAATTCATCGACCGGAGCTGAACAGAAAAAAAAATCTGAATTTTACTGGTGAATCTCTCATAAATTTACACGATCTATAGTTTAAACTGAAATTTACACTACTTTTTTTTAGCTGTGTGCACTGGAAACGAAAACATGACGAATTTCACGCTTACTCGACAAATGGTTGGCAGCACCCTCTCAGATTTCAATAAAACTTTGTGAGGTGTATATATTATGTCTACTTAACCAACTTTGCATACTTATTTTCATTAAAAAAAATCTAGACCAACATTTGGAAAGGGCAGATCTTTTTTGTAATCATATTAAAAAAAAAATAACTCCATAATGTTAAGTCCTACAAAAATGTTGCCGAAGGAAATTGTTGTAGAGAAATAAATGAGCTTTCATAAGGAAATATTTAAGTCTTTTTCTACAGGTAGACATACCATTTATTTCTACTTTTAAAACTTTTTCTACAGGTAGACATACCATTTATCTACAACTCTTTCATACATCTCAAGATGGGCACTTTTAAGGGAAAAAAGTTATTTAAAACGTGTTCGCACTGAATAAAATCTATGATTTTTTTCAGGTTTGGAACGAGAAATTTCCAAAGTTTGAAAGACGTGTTTCACGTCTCCCACTAAACAGGATTGTGTTCAACTCCAAATGAAAAATAAAATGATCGTTTATAAAGCTTTTTATATTAAGGAAAGGTCAACTAGTTTCGGAGATATGGACGGAACATGTTATAGTAAATTTAGGCGTCGATATATCAAATCACATAAAACGCAAACAAGATATTTTTAACGAGTGAGAAAACCAGTTTCAATGTCACGAAATTTATTCAGAAAATATATATTATTTTCCGTTTTTAAGCCTGTCTGTAGGTATACATTATTTGCTATTTAAGTGAAGATGTAGATACGACCCTATTCAATGAAGTGAAGAAACAGTGACAGTGAGAAAGTAAATTTCTGTAACGTTTCATAACAATTATTCTCATGGATACCTTAAGTGTTTTTAAATGCAGTGCTGGTATTTCGTATCCCAAGTGCAACCGAAACAAACTACGTTAGTTAACACCTGCATTAATTCAAAAAATGCAATCTATGGGATAAACTCACCAACTGAATGTACAGATGCGCATTTGTGAACCATGCCGTGATCCCTGGGGGACTGATTTGGACGAAGTAAGATCTATAACTAAAAAGTTTCATAATATGAAAGCTCCAGGTGATATTTTCTATATCCTCATTAAAAAAAACTCCCAAAGAGTATCTTAGTAAAATTATTTAACAGATGTTTTCGTTTGGTATACTTTCCTGATAAATGGAAAAATGCAAAAGTTGTTCCAATTTTGAAGCCGGATAAAAATCCAACTGAAGCTTCTAGCTACCGTCCAATAAGTTTGCTTTCTTCAATAAGTAAACTTTTTGAAAAGATTATTTGAAACAGAATGATGCTTTACATCAATACGAACTCAATTTTTGCAGATGAGCAGTTTGGATTTTGTTATGGACATTCAACTACTCATCAATTTTTAAGAGTTACCAATGCAGAAAAGTTTAGATATTTTCTCTTCTTATTTACAAAAATGGAAGATTTCTCCCAACACTTCCAAAACTCAACTTATAATATTTCCACATAAGCCTAGAGCTCCATTTTTGCAACCTATTAGTAGTCACTATGAACGGAGCTCCAATTTCATGGTCAAACCAAGTGAAATATCATGGATTAGTACTTGACCAAAAATTAACTTTTAAAGATCACATTGAGGGCAAATGCAACAAATATATAAAATGTTTGTATCCTCTTATAAACCATTAGCCCAACCTGGCTAATAAACAAATTCGCTATAAGATCCATCACATTCAATTTGCGCGCATTTTTCCCACGCGCTCGCACATTAGTATCATTGCTGATCAGACCATCATTGGAACATTTTGTGAAGTCCGAACCGTAAACACTAGGCCCACTTTCTGTCAAACACATTTTTTTCCATAGCAACGCTTAAAGAAACGATCTATAGCTAGACTGCTCAACTGAAAAAAAAATATACGAATGCATAGGTGTCTGTCTGGCATACTCCAGCATAGCACGGCATGCGGTATACATTTTAATTGACTGCCAAGAAAGTATTAAAGCATTATTCCCCACTTGCTGTGTTAACTGATCACATAATCTACAGTTTGCTTACAGGCGTCTGGTATCATTCGCTGACATAACAGGTAGTGGAATAGGATTATAAATTATACTCTTCAATTCGAATAAAAATGTCGCACACCACGCAACAATTGTCACCGTACGGCGCCGTGGCTTAGTTGGTTAAAGCGCCTGTCTAGTAAACAGGAGATCGTGAGTTCGAATCTCGCCGGAGCCTAATGTGGATATTTTTTTAATCCCTACATTACCCACATCAACATGCAAAAATATTGGTTAATTAATTTTAGGTGATGACAGAAAAAAAAGATACACTCCCTCCGTGACAATGACTGTTCGAGCCATTGCCGTGACCAGGATTCGAACCTGGGTTACTACGGCCACAACGTAGGGTCCTAACCACTAGACGATCACGGCTACCGGGAGTTGTAAGTTTAGAGCTGTTGCAAATGAATTAAGTGAAAGCCCAAATCCACCTTTTACGATCAGAATACTAAAGAAAGTAAATTTGAAACGCTTTCGAACGTAACTGTAACAAGTAACCGGAATTTTGTTTCACAAGCATTTCATCGCTCTACAGTGCAGTTTTGCAAACTTTCGTAGGTTTTATTTTTAGCTCACCCGTTGCAGCTTGTTGTGAAATTCAAGTCTATGCGCCCCACCAGCGAAAGGTGCACAGTAGGTTGAAGAGGCTTTGCAATTGATAATTCAACTGTTTTAGTTGGACTACATGTTCAATGCCTTTCTGAATAAAATATAAAACGTTAAGTAGTTGACGGATATACACATCTAAGCATTTAATATTCAAAATATTTATTCAAGGTGATAGGAAATCCTATTTCCAAGCAAAACTGCTACATTGTTGATATCAATCAACCATCGTCCGACGGTATGCTTAACCTCAAACAGCTGACGATGTTTTCACAACGGCGAGGGAAAGCAACATGACAACGAGAGAGAGAGAGAGAGGGTAACTCCACCCAGCGATCTGTTCGTTGAATAAGTGAGACGCTTGCCGTTCGATGTAGGAATGAAATCAAAGGCCTAAATTCGCAAGTCGAAATGACTAACTTTATCATACAAGCGTTCATACAAAAAAAAAAGATTCGTTTCGACTTACGGAATGAGGCCCCCCAGGATTCCATCAGAATCATTACCTGCTTACCTGCTCACCACTCGGTCGGGCGACAGTGATGTGTGGTGAAGCTTGTGCCTCGCGCTTGCGTTGGAAGATGAGATTTAGCTTTGGCCGTCGCAAGCCCGGATATACTGCTTGAAATTAATAAACAAAAAACTACCTCTCCGTGACAATGGCTTCCAGTTGAAGTCATTGCCGTGACCAGGATTCGAACCTGGGTTACTACGGCCACAACGTAGGGTCCTAACCACTAGACGATCACGGCTATAGAGGATTGGTGATCGAAGAGTAATCGATTCGCCTAGATATTCTGCACTTTCAAGGTCATATGGAATTGGCTACAGTTCATTTTTTGGCCGCCATTTTTTGATTGATGTATGAATTAAAAAAGGATTAATCGTGTAACGAAACAAGGATGGCTTTTAGGCAATTACATGCTATTTATGAGCGCTTACAGAGTTTACAAGGCCTACATAGTTTGTATGTCAGTCAGTAAGCTAAAATGGTATTTAGGATATAAAACATTCCTACTTAGATAACCTTTTGATTTTATTTTCATGAAGGCTATTTTTAACTTTGCTTTATAAGAGCATTGCATTTGAAATTACAGAAGCTCATTGGCGCACCATTTAACGGTAGCCTTTGATTTCCGTGTCATCGTGTTGCGTTCAGTTGTGAAATACAAACCGTAGGGTAAACGCTCCTACAGTTGCGGTAGGTTAGAAGCGTTCCTATAGTTGTGTACTCCATAAACAACTATAGGAACCTAATGCTTCTAACGTATGGCAACTGCGCAATTTTGTTAAAAAATCTAACCTCTCCGTGACAATGACCGTTCGAGCCATTGCCGTGACCAGGATTCGAACCTGGGTTACTACGGCCACAACGTAGGGTCCTAACCACTAGACGATCACGGCTATAGAGGATTAGTAATTGAATAGCAATCGAATGGTGTAGACATTCTGCACTTTCAAGGTCAAACAATTACGTTGACAAACACTCTTAGATGCATTTCGTTTATTTTTATCATGTCCATTTTTAACATTGTTAAGAGAATGCCGAGAGTAGTGAGATCAAATCCCGGTCCATTCTATTTTTTTAATAAAATAATCTGGACATAATGTATTGTCACAGTCAGTTGGCAATGTAAAATTCTAGTTTGGGGGATATTTGGCTAAAAAAAATAAGAAGAAGAATATTTGACACAAATGTGAAAACACATCGGAGCACCATTCAACGGTAGCTTTGATTTTCTTTTATCACCATGTTGCTTAAGGTTGTGAAATACAAGTCACAGTAGGTATAGGACCGATACGATAAGCGTTTCTTCTGGAGAAATAAAAAAAGAT